TAAAACTAAGAAATTAGTCTTAGTTAAATATATTTATTATTTTAATTAATGAAGTTTATTTATTTTATTTTTTGTCAATTAATTATTATAAACTAATAATACCATCCGGAGGTAAAAACATTACAAAACATATAAAACATAGACATACAAACAGAACCATCAACAATTATAGAGAGGACTTAAGATCTTACGTCCAGAAGGGGGATGACGGAAGATTAAGAAAGACAGACAAAGAAGTACTTGAAAGCGGGGGCTAGGTGGACAGCTGTCTCCTCTGATGGGAGGACAGTGACCCAGTCTAGCAGCCGTGGTTTATTGATATAGCCTTGCTTATGCGGTGGGAGGAGAAACGGGAGAAGCGGCCTTGCGCAGAAAATGTTCCGTGTCAGCTGCAGGGTGATAGCAACCAATGTATCACAACTCAGGATGCTCTGTATCCAGTGTATCGAAACCAACTCTGGGTACCGGGAAACCACCTCCGCTTGCTGCGGCGCTGAGCCAGCTTTGCTGAAGCCCAGTAGGAGAGTGCGACCTTGCACCAACCTCTCCCTCACAGCTCCTGGAGGGGCCTTCGGTCTCGGCAATAACAAGATTTATATACCTTGCTAAGGAGTACATGAATAGAAATATATATTTATATTTTAAGTGAGGTACTTTATGGAGAAGTGCCCAATATGCTGTAGGAAATATTTCAGTATTTTAATAAAAAATAAGGCAAAATCTGTTCCAGACAACTGTGAGCTGGCCTAGCACAACTGTGCTAAGCCTAGATATAGCCTGTTGATCAGAAAATGTCACACTTGTTCATCACCAAAGCTACTTTGTTATTATGATGGATCAAGACAAAAGCAAAGGCATTCATGTCTGGATAAGTGATGAAAGAGAACAGGTTTCCAAATAAAAATAACCCAAATTCCCTACTTTTCACTAATAGAACTTGTCCTTCTTACAAACTAGGTTTAGTATTATGCCATCCTTTCTGTCTGCCAGATATGAACTATTATGATTACCCATGATAGAATTAAGTTCATTTCCTCACAGCATCCAATAAAGAAAAATGTCTTCCTTCTTTGAATAGCAAATAAATCATCTAACACCAGCCAAAATCTAACAAGAAATCCTCCTGAGTGTGTTGTTACTGTTATACCTCACAGTCATTTATAGTTTGTTGTCATTCTTATTACAGTCATTCTCCCCTTTAGTCATGGTCTTGCTTTCCATGGATTTAGGTACCTTGAGTCAACTATGATTAAAAAATATTAAATGAAAAATTCCAGAAATAAGCAATTCATAAGTTTTAAATTGCTTATCATTCTGACATTGAATCACATGATGCAGTCTCACTCTATCCCCTTTGTTCATTGTATCAACACTGTATTCACTAGCTGTGTTATGAGATCGACTGTTGTGCTATCCCAGTGCTTGTGTTTAAATAACACTTCTTTTACTTGATAATGGCCCTAAAGCACAAGAGTAGTGATGTTGGCAATTTAGACATGCCAAAGAGAAGCCATAATTTGCTTCATTTAAGTGAAAAGGTGAAAGTTCTCAGCATTAAGGAAATAAAAAAATCATGCTGAGGTTGCTAAGAGCTATGGTATGTCAAATCTTTTATCTATGAAATTGTGAAGAAGGAAAAAGAAATTGTGCCGGTTTTGCTATTGCACCTCACACTGCAAAAGTTATGGCCACAGTGCATGACAAGTGCTTAGTTAAGACAGAAAAGGCATTAAAAATGTGGGTGGAAGACACAAACAGGAAATGTGTTCCAACTGACCACAACAGGTTATGCCAGAAAGCATTAAGTCTATACAAAAATTTAAAGAGAGCCTCTGAAACAAGTGACACAAAGCCATTTACTGCAAGTAAAGGATGGTTACACAGATTTGGGAATAGGTTTGGACTGAAAAATACATAAATTACTGAAGAGACTGCACCTGCTGATGAAGAAGCTGCTACCACAATTCTGGTAAAATTGAAGCTGATTAAAGAGAAAGGATACTATCCAAAGCAAGTCATCAATTGCAATAAACCAGGTTCTTCTGGAAGAAGATACCCAATAGAACCTACATTCATAAAAGCACCGAGGAGGCACCAGGACATAAAACATGGAAGGACAGATTAACTCTGGTATGATGTGGCAATGCTTCAGGGTAGATGATAAAGCCAACCACAGTATAAAAAGCAAAGAACCCATATGCTCCCCAAATTAAAAATTGTCTGCCTGTGTTCTGGTAATATAAGAAGAAAGCAAGGGTGACAGCTATCTTGTTTATGGAATGGTTCCACCAACGCTTCACCCCAGAAGTGAAAAAATACTTGGAAGATTGAAATTTTAAAAATTTTTTTTAGCTGAGCCATCCGGCCACCTGTTGGTAGCTCAGCGGCTGCTCAGCTCAGGCCGGGAATCGAACCCGCTGTTGCTCAGAGCTCAAACTCTTGAGTGAGCTCTTAACCAACTGAGCCACTCAGCTGGCCCTGAAGAAAAAAATTTTAATGGTAAATAAAAACACCTGAAAGAGGAAGGGTTGAAATTTAAAGTCCTGGGCCAGCTGGGTGACTCAGTTGGTTAGAGTGTGAGCTCTGAGCAACAGGGTTGCTGGGGTTTGATTCTTACATAGACCAGTGAGCTGTGCCAGAACTGAACTGCTGCTGAGCTGCCAACAGGTGGCTGGATGACTCAGCTGGTGAGGGCGCGTGCTCCTAACAAGGTTGCCGGTTTGACTCCCGCATGGGATGGTGGGCTATGTGCCCCACCCCCACCCCTGCAACTAGATTGAAAGAGGTGACTGGATTAGGAGCTGAGCTTGTGCCCTCCACAACTAAGGTTGAAGTACAACAACTTGTCTTGGAGCTGATGGGTCCTGGAAAAACACAATATTCCCCTTCCCCAATTCCCCAACACTGTTCCCTTCTCAAATCCCCAATAAAATCTTAAAGAAAGAAAGAAATTTAAAGTCCTATTAAGAATAGAAAATGCATCTGGCAATCCTGAATCTGTTTGCTATGAAAATGAAAGTGTTGAAGTTGTATTTTTACCACAACTTCATTGCTTCAGCCCTTTGATCAGGGCATTATTTGGTTTGTCAAGGCCATATACACCCACCTGGTATTTGATTGCATTTGATCATCAATTCATGGAGACCCAAATCTGGACATAATGATGAATGGCCTGAAATCATTCACTGCTGCTGATGCAGTAACATTCATAAATGCTGCAATGGATGAATTAAAACCATAAAATGTAAATGCCTTTTGGAAGAGTTTATGAAGTCGTGAACTATTTAAAGGCTTCCTGGGGAATTGATGGAGAAGACAGGAAAACCATTCATGCAGCAAGACAAGTTAGTGGAGTACTTGTTAACATGCTCGACGAACAAGTGCAAGATCATATTGAAGGCCCTTGAGAAGTGTCAACAAATGAGGAATGGAAGAACTTGTTGAGTCATCTACAGAGAAAGAGGAAGAGAAGAGGAAGAAAACCTGAAGTAGAACCAGCAATGTGGACATTATTGAAATTTGCCAAAGTGTTTCAAATTAAACATTAGACATTAAACAACAAAATTATGGAATATGTTCAATGGATAAAACACATCATTAAAATCACCTGTATCTTCACCAAAGGATTACAACCTCTGCACAACACTTTGATGAGTTAAAAAGAAAGAGACACCAACTTCTGAATAAGATGTTCTTCCAAAGGATACTGGCAAAAAAACCTTCAACTATTGAGGATCCCCAGCCATCAACGTCTTCTGCTCCTGATATCCAACCACTGAGTTGTTATGTCTTGATGATCCAGAATCACTCGATGCAGATGATCCTCTTCTGACATGTCAGGTCAATAGCAGCCTAATGCAACGTCACAATGCCTATATAATTCACCTCACTTCATGGCATCATGTAGGCATTTTATCATCTCATATCATCACAAGAAGAGTGATGACAGTACAATAAGACATTGTGAGATAGACTACATTTACATAATTTTTATTACAGTATATTGCTATAATTGTTCTATTTTATTTGCTATGGTTGTTAATGTCTTAGTATGCCTAGTTTATAAATAAACTTACCAAATTATATATGTACAGAAAAAAATATAAAATTTGGCACTATCCACGGTTTCAGGTATCCACTGGGGGTCTTGGAACATCTTCCCTGCAGATAGGAAGGGACCACTGTACTAAAATTCGTAAATGCTTCTGACCACAGATGTAATCTAGGGTCTTTGGCAGGAGGGGATTGAAGAAAATATTCGGTTTTGGTTTAGGAATAGGAAAGCAGCCTCATGACAAAAATTGTAAATATAAAAATATTGCCTGAGGAAAAAAATACTTGAATTATATGCACATGATAATATTGATTCAGAATATATAAAGATTAAATGGAGAAACTTACACAATGATAAAAAAATCCACAATTACAATGGAATACTTTAATGTCTACTCTTAGGAAATGAAAAACACAGTATTTCTTAGTATACAAGCGTCTGTTAAACAGTTAATAAAATGTTTCTAAGAAAAAACTACAGAAGCACTCATTAGAGAAGAAATGCACAAACTCAATCATGTACAATCAAAGATGAATCAAAGTATTTCGAGGGATTAAGCTCAACTATGAGTAAAAGGAAATATCCAGAATCTGCCTGATATGAGGAAAGTGCCAATTCTCACATGGACAGACTGGGTCAAAGCAGTCACTGCTTAGTGCAGCAGAGAAACAAACTCCAACATGGTTCGTTTGGACGGCACCATTGCAACTGTCATAGTGGAATCAGAAACACATGGTCACTCGGCGTATTAACAGAACAAGGTGTTTACTGTACAAATTAGACCTTATATAAATACAATCTAGACAACAGTGGAGTTAGTGCTTCAGAGAACATTCTCAATGATGACAGTCTGGTGGACACATGAAGGCTTGCAGGAGAATCCCAACTGCACTGGATCTTTCATGTTGAACTTTGGAGACAACTGTAGAAGCCTAGAGCTGAAATCAAATGGAAGTCAAGCAGACACTGGTGGTTTTGAGGATATTCTTGATTGGCAGGGCAAAGAATGAGGAAGATGGTCTGGAAGCAAGTGTTCGCAAAGGCCCTATACATCTGTCTGTTTTATTTATACAGGTGGCTCCAAAACCTGCCTAATCCTATTTCACTTCTGCATTCCAAGTTTCATGTAACATAGGATTTGGTGAATTCTAACATGGAAACATAAAGGCAATAGCTTGTAGAAAACATGGTTCATACATTACTCACGTTGATTTAACAGTCAAGAAAGGTCATCTCTAACTCTAGATTTTATTGTCCTATCACAGTTCTCTCTTCTTAATGCAAACTCCATAGCCCAAATCCCAACCAGAAGGAATGATAAAGAGCAAGGGACAATACATTAAAATAATAATTCACAGGAGACTATGTGATGAACTTTGCATATTTACAAATTTATGCCAAATATTTATTGGCAAGGAAAACAAAATAAGGCTCTTCAGGCCAATGAAAAGGTAGTTTTCTGTATATACACATATATTTCACCTTTCTTTCTTAACAGAAATATATAATATATATATGTAATGGGTAAAAGTTCTTGTCATAGGAGACCAGTAGGAAAAAAACCAACAAATACCAAAGTGACATTTTTCAATGGTCCTATCCTAATAGATCAATTAAAGAATTATGTAAAAAATAATTCTATTTGCATGTTAGAAATACACTTCAATTCACCCATGGATCTAACAGACTTCAAAAGAGAAGCATAAAAATTTTACTGAATAAAGAAAGAAATTACCTATTAAAATTAGTAACTCTTGCTTAAACAGTAACTACAGAATTATCTCACTGCAATATTTACTTGCAAAAGTAAGTAGAACTCCATTCAGAGAATTAAAGAATAAGTCAGTAATAAAGATCATATATGTATAATGTTTATAACATTTCTTCCATATCGTGAAATTACTAGAGTATCCTACATGAATTAATTTTCACCAGGCTACCCATATTATTACAATATCATTTAATTCTGATGCAGTTTTAACATTACTTTGAAAATATTTGTTAAAATAAAAAATTTTGTCTTATTTTTCGGTTATACAGTTTCTATCCAGTATACATTCTCACATGATTTTGTAGGGATTTGAGGCAAGTGAAGGTTTTCCTATATTGTTTACATTCAATAGAATTTTCTCCACTGTGTTTTTGTTTGTTTAATGGCTTCCCAAGGAAATGAGACAGATGAAGGCTTTTCCAGATTCTATATGTATCTATACAGTATCTAGTGTGCATTCTTACATGTCCATGAAAGACTCTTCCACATTCCTTATATTCATAGACTTTCTCTTAGGTATGAGTTCTTTCATGATTTCGTAAAGAACTGGGACGACTGAAGGCTTTGCTACAATTTTTACATTGATAGGGTTTCTCTCCAGTGTGAGTTCTTTCATGTGTTCGTAATGAACTAGGACAATCGAAGGCTTTTCCACATTCCTTACATTTACAAGGTCCGTCTCCAGTGTGCTTTATCATATGCCTTTGAACATTAGAGAGAGAAATGAAGGCTTTCCCACATTCCTTACATTCATAGGGTTTCTCTCCACTATGAGCTCTTTCATGTTTTTGAATGGAACTGAGATAAGTGAAGGCTTTACCACACTGCTTACATTCATAGGGTTTCTCCCCAGTATGACTTCTTTCATGTTTTTGAAGGGAACAGGGAAAACTGAAGGCTTTACCACATTCCTTACATTTATGAGGTTTTTTTCTAGTATGAGTTTTTTCATGATTTTGAAGGGACCTGGGAGTACTAAAGGACTTACCACATTCCTTACATTCATATGGCTTTTCTCCACTATGTGTGCTTTCATGATATCGAAAGTAGTTGGCACAATCGAAGACTTTACCACAGTCCTTACACTTATAAGGCCCATCTCCAGTGTGCTTCATCATGTGTCTTCGAAAGTTGGTGAGAGAACTCAAGGCTTTCCCACATTCCTTACATTCATAGGGTTTCTCTCCAGTATGATTTCTTTCATGTTTTCGAAAGTAACTTGGACAACTGAAGGCTTTCCCACATTCCTTACATTCATAGAGTTTCTCTCCAGTATGACTTCTTTCATGTTTTCGAAAATAATTTGGACAACTGAAGGCTTTACCACATTTTTTACATTCATAGGGCTTTTCTCCACTGTGTCTCCTTTCATGACTTCGAAAGGATCTGGGACAACTGAAGGCTTTACCACACTGCTTACATTCATAGGGTTTCTCTCCAGTATGAATTCTTTTATGTTTTCGAAAGTAACTTGGACAACTGAAAGCTTTGCCACATTTTTTACATTTATAGGGCTTTTCTCCACTGTGTATCCTTTCATGACTTCGAAAGGATGTGGGACAGCTAAAGGCTTTACCACATTGCTTACATTCATAAGGTTTCTCTCCAGTATGAGTTCTTTCATGTTTTCGAAAGTAATTGGGACAACTGAAAGCTTTACCACATTGCTTACATTCATACGGTTTCTCTCCTGTGTGAGATATTTCATGAATTCGACAGTAACTGAGACAACTGAAAGCTTTACCACAGTGCTTACATATATAGGGTTTCACTCCAGTGTGAATCCTTTCATGCCTTCGAATGGATTGGCGATACTTGAAGGCTTTCCCACATTCCTTACATTTATATGGCTTTTCTTCGTATTCCTGATACTCATATGGTTTGGGTGTAGTGTGAGATCTCATGTGGCTACTATACAATGACTGATTCATGAAGACTTGTCCACACACACTGCATTCACATAGTTTCATTCCAGTAGTTTTCTTTTTCTGATTATGATTTGGAATCTGGCCAAAGGTTTCTCCATACTGATTACCTTCTTTACTTTTACCCAGTCTCTCTACTATATGACGGCTTTAAAAAGTGAAAAACATATTTTTAGTATCTTATTTACTAATGATTTTATATTAAGTTATTACAATGTCACTTTTTATCATAATCAAGAAAGTGTACACTTTCAGTGCTTTCTGATTTGAAAGTTTGAAAGTAAATATGCTAAGTGCTCAGCAAGAGGGCTCACCCATAGCTATTATCAAAACAGTATATTCATAAATGGAGTTTCAAAATACTGTTTCCAAATGTACCATTTTTGAAACTAAACATGTAAATCACATTTGAAGAAAAAAATTTGTTGAAAATATTTTAAGGATAGATCAATTTGAAACTTGGCTGATGTGGGCGGGCTGAGTGGCGCGATGGTTAGAACTGGCTTGTGATGCCAGAGGGCCCCGGTTCGGGTCCCACATATGAGGGCCAGTGACACTGCCCCCTCTACAGCTAAGATGCTGAATGACAGCTCAACCTGGAGCTGGGCCACTGTGAGGTGCCGGCGATGGCGTAGACTGCAGCCCCTGTGGCAGTGGGTTGCCATGGGCTACCGTATGTAGCCAGCAGCCAGCGTGAGCGGCCGTCCAGAAGCTGGCGACTGATCTGCCTCGCCCGGGGAAGAGCGCAATGATGGTGCCAACTTGGGCCAGTGAAGCAACATCCTCCACAACTAGACTGAAGACCAAAATGACAGCAACTTGTCTGTTCTCCTTCCCCAATTCCCCAGCGCTGTTCCCATCCCCCCAATTCCTCAATAAAAATCTTTAAAAAAGAAAACAAAAAAACTTGGCTGATTTGTTTTATATGCTGTTTTTAAAATTTTATGACATACTAAGATTCTCTTGTGGGATATTGCTTTCTCATGCGACTCACCTTAAGTCTGTCCCATGCTTTTCATAGTGATCTTCAATGTCTTTGCATATTTCTCCTAAAATGCAGACCAGGAAAAATCACTATAAACTATAAAACCTTACAGAAAAATTGTTACATAATAAGTCTATGAGGAGCTGTGACCAAGCCTGGTTTATTTACCAATGTATTCCCTCTCCACATTTCATTCTCTGGAATTCCACTGATGAGCAAGCAACACTGGTTTTGGTATGTGTATAGGTTTTTTTTAATTACTTTTTTTCAGTTACAGTTGACATTCAATATTATTTTATATTAATTTCAAGTGTACAGCATAGTGGTTAGACATTTATATAATTTATACAGTGAGCCCCTTGATTAGCACCCACCTGGCATTATACTTAGTTGCAACACTGGTTTTTCTAAGTACTAAGAAAATAAGAATGTTTTCATCCCTACCTATGGAAGCCAGGTTCCTGAAGGTTTCCCGCATCACTTCTCTGTAGAGCTTCTTCTGTGAAGGATCCAGTAAAGCCCACTCCTCCAGGGTAAACTTCACACTCACATCCTCAAAAGCCACTGAGTCCTGAAACACCCAAATATGTGTACAGGTGAATGGGTGAGATGAACAGCTCTAGAAATCTATACTCAATTCATGAGAAATTCACATATGACTGTGGTCTCCCAACATTTATTCTATGACTTTGTTGTCAGAGCTATAACTTATTTATTTTTATTTTTTAAGATTTTATTTGGGAATTGGGGGAGGGAACAGCATTGGGGAATTGGCAGAAGGGGAACAGACAAGTTGCTGTCCTTTTTGTTCTTCAGTCTAGTTGTGGAGGATGTCACTTCACTGGCCCATGTTGGTATTGTGATCATTGCACTCTTCCTGGCTGAGGCAGATTGGTCGCTGGCCATTGGATGGCTGCTCACGGCGGCTCTTGGCAGCTCACGCTGGCTGCCGGCCACTCACGGTAGCTTATGGCAGCCCACTGCAGCCCCACTGCAGCCTATGCCATTGCCGGCAACTCACAGCAGCCCAGCTCCAGGTTGAGCTGTTGTTCACTATCTTAGCTGTAGAGGGCGCAGTGTCACTGGCCCATGTGTGATTTGAATCAGCGGCCCTGCTGCTCAGAGCTCGGGCTCCCAATGAGCCACTTAACCAATAAGCTACTTGGTCGGCCCCCAGAACTAGAACTTATTGGCCACTCTCACTTCCTCATAAATTTAACAGCATCATGGGCACAAGGAATGTACTGCTACACTTTCTATTGTGATCACATCAATATTCATTGTTGTCTAACATCAGAATACAGAGCACCTTGGAGAAATGAGAGAAATGCTATAAAAGGAAACAAATATTTCCATTTGAAGCACATCAATTTATTGTAAAACAACAACGAAAAACAAACGAAAAAAAACCTCTTTCATCTCCTTCTTTAATACCACTATATCACTCATCACTCCATGAAGCACAGTATCATACCTGCATGAGGTTTTAATGAATAAAACACAGTGAAGAGCTGGAAGCTTTTTCTTCTATTCTCACCAAACATGAGAGGCCAGGAGGCCTGTGGAATCCAACTTGTAACAAGATCCAGGTGGCCATAGGGTCCTGAAGTATTCCAGGATATTAGAGGTAGTCAGATCCAGTTGACTGAATGAAAATATTCTTGTGGAGCACTATGAATTATAATTGGTTTGTAAAATATGTATCACAGAATCAGTTTTACCTTCTTTGCTCTGTCTTATTTCATGGGGCCAGGAAATTATTTGGAAGATACAGCTCAAATATGAGGAAGAAGGCAGGACAACTTAGACATCCCCCAAATCCCTGTACTCATGAGCCTCAGGGTTGCTTCCCACCAATTTTCAGAACAGATAGGCACACACACTGAGATGATAAAATCACAGAGGAGAGGAGGTCTTCCCAACAGAATCATAACACTGTAACCTGAGCCTAATAACCTTGAGGAACAAGTTAAGACATGGAATTTGCAAGGGAGTTCACTTAAATCCCTGATGGTTTGATGATTAATTTGTATATGATTACAAAATACATAAAGAGTTCAACAGTGCTTTCCTCAAAACAACAACAAAAAACCCCAAAAACAAAAAAAACCATAAAATCCCCTTTCTCTAATTTCAGCAGCAAGTGATACCCAACCAGCCACTGTAGAGGCTCTCCTCTCAACTTCTCTCATTTCCAAGTTTCCATGTGGGCACAGCAGCATGACCACCCATTCTGAGGCTAGAAATCCCAAGTGGCATAATTCCCCTAAATGCTGGTCCCTGAAAGACATAAATAACCCATTGATATGCATGTGTAGGGAACAGAGAAAAGACTTTCACCCAGCAATTCTGATGGTAGAATTGACCTATTTGGTAGAGCAACAGCAAAACAGGAACACCTCTCGTTGTGGGTTCAGGGAGTAAGATGTGCTGCCTGGCTCAGCCCTAATTACTCTTTCTACAGCAGATCTGTATTGCTTGCTCATAAAAAAGCCCTACTACCTAGTGTGAAGAAAAGAGTGAACATTAGCAGGCCCAAGATTACATATCTTCACAAACTCTGGGTAACAAAGTTTGTTCTTTGTTGGTACATGGGAACCGGAATTTCAAGAGTGATCCTACTACCCTTATACATAACAGTGCCTTGGTGTGCCTAAAGCATTTATGGGAACAATATGGTATAAGGTAAACTCCTGTTTTCTGTAATTTACACATTTGTCAGATGGTGCTGACATGATTAGCCCCCAGAAAACACTATGGGTACTGAGTCTCTACTGAGCTTTGCTGGTAGATAATAATTCACACATGTACTCACAACTTCCTGAAGAACTGAGCCCATCCTGTGTGGTCACATTAAGAGACAACATTTGGAAGCTTGCTCTTGATTTCCTCCGGACCAAATTTAACTCAGTACTAAACAACACTAATAAAGAATACTTAATGATCCTCAAAGAAAATATTAAATATTTTTCTTGGGTAATATCAAATAAAATGAACGGATGGTACATGTTCTTAGAAAAAATTCAGTGGTTACCTCTCCCAAATAATATCTTTATAAAGGTCCATTAATCCCCCAAACAGACTCTTCAGGAGTCAACAAAAAGACATGTTATCACTATTATCAGTCAAGTAACTCCAAGGGCTTGAAGAGGTTTTTGTAAGGAACTGGGGACAAAGACCAGAAAAGGCTAGAAGAGATTTAAGTTGACTATTTCCATCCTGACAGGTCAGTTAGGCTTTGGGGAAATCCCATCAGTTACACTGCAAACTAAACCTTTTATATTGCATGTATACTAACACTTTTTTCCCACTTTGTTGTTTGTCTTTTAATTTCCTTAACTTTAATAATATATTTGAATTTGTTAGTCTCTGGCTTTATGGCTCACTCTTTTTTCTTCTTTTTAAAATATTTTTATTGGAGAATTGGGGAGGGGAACAGTGTTGGGGAATTGGGCGAGGGGAACATTGTGTTTTTCCAGGACCCATCAGCTCCAAGTCAAGTTGTTGTCCTTAATCTTAGTTGTGCAGGACACAAGCTCAGCTCTAAGTCTAGTCGCCACTTTCAATTTAGTTGCAGGGGAGGGGGAGGAGGGTGGGACACAGCCCACCATCCCATGCAGGTGTTGAACTGGCAATCTTGATGCTAAGAGCACGCACCCTCACCAGCTCAGCAGCAGCTCAGCTTGGGTGCATCTCACTGGCCCATGTGGGAATTGAACCAGCAACCCTCTTGCTCAGAGCTTACGCTCTTAACCAACTGAGCCACTCGGCTGGCCCCCACTCTTTTTCTTATATGACAAAATTCTCCCTATTCTTGTGTCAATATATGACTTCTAAAAGTATCCTAGTTTCATTTTTCACATTTAAATCTACAATGAATTGACTATTGTCCATGGAATAAAGGGGAATACAATGCATTTTTCTAATTAGATAACAGTTTGTCCTTGTCTCTCATATTAAAGTATTCCTGATATTTGCCCCTGCTCTGTAATATCTGCTTTGTCCTTGACCAACTTTATATATTAAATCCTGCCCCATGGAAGACACTTTCCTTTCTTTTGGTCTGCTTGTTTATCTCTCTGGTAATAGTGTACTGTCTGGAATACTACAGCTTAAAAACCCTTGATGTATGTTAGTAGGCTGCCACTTTGTCTTTAGAGGACTGTCCATTTTTGGACATTTGTTTCTCTTACGAGGTTTAAAGGAGCCAGTTTTTCAAGGCTGGAAGAGATAGCTATTTTATATTTATAAACAAACATAGAAAGTCAAACAAAATGAAAGGACAGAAAAATATCTTTTAAATGAAGGAACAAGAAAAATCCCCCAGAAAAACCCCTATGGAAATGGAGATAATTTGCTTGATGAAGAATTCAAAGAAATGGTCATAAGGATGCTCACTAAACTTAAGAGTGGAATAGACGAACTTAGAACTTCAACAAAGAGTTACAAAGTATAATAACTAAGCAGCCCTGAAGAACACAATAACTGAAATGAAAAACACATTATAAGGGATCAACAGAAGATTAGCTAATACAGAAGAATAGATAAGCAACTTAGAAGACACACTGGTGAAAGTCAGCCAATCAGAAGAGCAGAAAGAAAAAAGAATTAAAAAAAATGAGGGTAGTTTAAGGGACCTCTGGGATAACATCAGACACTCAAACATTTGCATTATAGGGATCCCAGAAGGAAAAGAAAAAGGAACAGAAACTTTAATGGCTGAAAACTTTCCTAACCTGGGAAAAGAAACAGACATCCAGGTGCAGGAAGCACAAAGAGTTCCAAACAAGATGAACCCAAAGAGACCCACACCAAGACACACTGTAATTAAAATGGCAAAAGGTAAAGATGAAGAGACAATCTCAAAAGAAGCAAGAGGAAAACAAGTTACATACAAAGGAAATCCCATAATGCTGTAAGCTGATTTCTCAGCAGCAACTTTACAGGCCAGAAGGGAGTGGCAGCAAGACATCTTTAAAGTGCTGAAAGAAAGGAAGCTACAATGTAGAACTTACTCAGCAGCGTTATCATTCAAAATTGAAGGACAGTGTTTCCTAGACAAGCAAAAATGAAAGGAGCTCATCACCATTAAACCAGCTTTACAAGAAGTATTAAAGGGTCTTCTATAAGCAGAAAAGGAAAGACCATAACCAGAAATAAGAAAATATGAGAAAAGGAAAAATTTCACAGATAAAGCCAAATATTTAATAAATACAATAAAGCATTACATTTAAAAAGCTACTACAAAGATCTGAGGGAAAAAGTATTAAATGCAACTCAAAGTACAATAGCAGTTAGGAAACATATAACATAAAAATATCTAAAACATGACATTAATAACATAAAGCATGGAGAAGTAAAAATGTAATCCTTATAGAATATATTGAAACTTAAATGCCTATAAGCTTGAAATAAACTGCTATAGATATAGAATGATATACATAAACTTCATGGTAACCACAAACCAAAAACCTACAAAAGATATACAAAAAGGAACCCAAGGAAAACCAGCAAACCACAAGGAAAGATATCAAGAGAAGGAACCAAGAACTATAAAAACAACCCTCCAAAATTTAATAAAATGGCAAAAAGTACATACTTATCAATAATTACTTTAAGTGTAAATGGCTTAAGTGCTCCAATAGAAAGACAAAGGGTGGTTGACTGGATTAAAAAAACATGACCAATCTACATGTAGCTTACAAGAAACTTACTTCAAATCAAAAGACACATACAGGGCCAGCCCAGTGGCTCAGCTGGTTAAGAGCTTCACTTGGGACGCCAACTCTGAGCAGCAGGGCCGCGGTTCAGATCCCATATTGAGGACCAGTGACGCTCGCCCTCTACAGCTAAGATGATGAACAACAGCTTGACCTGGAGTTGGGCTGCTGTGAGTCGATGGCGATGGCGTAGGCTGCAGCGGGGCTGCAGTGGGCTGCTGTGAGCTACGTGAGTGGCTGGCAGCCAGCCAGCGTGAGCTGCTGGGAGCCACTGTGAGCGGCCGACCAATGACTGGCAATCGATTGCCTCACCCGGGAAGAGCACCAATGATCATACCAACATGGGCGAGTGAAGCGATGTCCTCCACAACTAGACTGAAGAACAAAAACAGCAATTTGTCTACCTGTCTGTTCCCCTTCCCCGATTCCCCAACGCTGTTCCCCTCCCCCCAATTCCCCAATAAAATCTTAAAAAAAAGACATATACAGACTTAAAATGAAGGGATGGAAAGAGGTATTCCATGCAAATAATAACGAAAAGAAAGCTGGAGCAGCAATACTCATATCAGACAAAATAGACTTTAAAATAAAAAAATATAAAAGGAAATTACACAATTATAAAGGGGTTAATCCAAGAAGAGGATATATCAATTGTAAAACATATCCACAAAGCCAACATAGGAGCACCTATATACATAAAGCAATTATTAATGGACATAAAGGGAGACATAAATCCACAGTAATGTAATAATAGTAGGTGATTTTATTACCCCATTCACACCAATGGATAGGTCATCCAGAGAGAAAATTAATAAGGAAATAATGACCTTAAATGTCACATTAGACCAGATCAACCTCATAGACATTTTTAGAATATTTCATCCAAAAACTGCAGAATACACATTTTCTTCCCAAGTGTACATGGAACAGTCTCCAGGATAAGTCACATATTAGGTCACAGAACAAGCCTCAATAAATTCAAGAAGATTGAAATCATATCAAGCATCTTTTCTGACCACAACGGCATGAAACTATTAGGAATCAACCACAGGAAAAAAACTGAGAAAAACACAAATATGTGGATACTGAACAACATGCTACCAAACAACCAGTGGACCAAAAAGGAAATAAAACATGATATCAAAAACAATCTGGAAACAAATGAAAATGAAAACACAATATTTCAAAATTTATGGGATGAAGCAAAAATTGTCTAAGAGGGAACTGTATAGCTATACAGGCCTACCTCAAGAAACAGTAAAACTCCCAAAGAAATAATCCAACTCTGCACCCAGAGGAACTAGGAAAAGAACAAACAAAACCCAAAGTAAACAGAAGGAAGGAAATAGTTGGATCAGAGCAGAAATAAATGAAATAGAAATTTGAAAAACAATGGAAAAGATCAATAAAACTAAAGGTTGGTTCTTTAAAAAGATAAATAAAATTGACAAACCTTTAGCCAAACTCATCAAGAAAAAAACAGAGAGAGCCCAAATAAATAAAATCATAAGTCATAACTGACCCACAGAAATACAAAGATCATTATGGAATACTACAAACAATTATGTGCCGACAAATTTGACAATCTAGAAGAAATGGATAAATCTCTAGAAGTAAGTAACCTTCCATGACTGAACCAGGAAGAAATACAAATCTAAACAGACCAATTACTAGCAATGAAATTGAAGCAGTAATTTGAAGAACTCCTAACAAATAAAAGTCCAGGACCAGATGACTTCACAGGTGAATTCTACCAAACATTCAAAGAAGAATTAATACTCATCTTCCTATTTACTATTTCAAAAACAAAACAAAACTGAAGAGAAAGGAACATTTCCAAATTCATTCTACAAGGCCAGCATTACCCTGATACAAAAACCAAAGACATTACAAAAAAAAAAAAATTACAGGCCAATATTCTTGATGAACATAGATGTAAAAATTCTCAACAAAATATTAGCAAACCAGATTCAACAATACATGAAAAGGGGCGTCTTCCTCCTGACTGGTTTTGGTGCCTTGGAGCTGCTGATAGCAAGATGTCTTCAGGAAATGCTAAAATTGGGCACCCTGCCCCCAACTTCAAAGCTACAGCTGTTATGCCAGATGGTCAGTTCAAAGATATCAGTCTATCTGACTACAAAGGAAAATATGTTGTGTTCTTCTTTTACCCTCTTGACTTTACCTTTGTGTGCCCCACGGAGATCATTGCTTTCAGTGATAGGGCAGAAGAATTTAAGAAATTCAACTGCCAAGTGATTGGTGCTTCTGTGGATTCTCACTTCTGTCACCTGGCATGGATCAACACACCCAAGAAACAAGGAGGACTGGGACCAATGAACATTCCCTTGGTGTCAGACCCCAAGCGCACCATTGCTCAGGACTATGGGGTCTTAAAGGCGGATGAAGGCATCTCATTCAGGGGTCTCTTTATTATTGATGATAAAGGTATCCTTCGGCAGATCACTGTAAATGACCTTCCTGTTGGCCGCTCTGTGGATGAGACTCTGAGACTACTTCAGGCCTTCCAGTTCACTGACAAACATGGGGAAGTGTGCCCAGCTGGTTGGAAGCCTGGCAGTGATACCATCAAGCCTGATGGCCAGAAGAGCAAAGAATATTTCTCTAAGCAGAAATGAGTGCTGGGCTAGCAGATAGCCCTGAGAACAAAACCTCTTTTGTACTATTGTCATACTTAAAACACAAGTCCTTAGATTTAACTCAGATGTGGTGTGGGATAGGACAGGCCTTTATTCTTCTGGAGGAAATGGCCTGAACTTTGCTATGAGGTAGACCGACTGATGTGTACAGTAGTGGGGCATCACTTTTGATCTTTTGTAGTTTCTATTAAACTGGAACTGAGACCTTGTTTCTTCAAAAAACAAACAAACAAACAAAAAAACAATACATGAAAAGGATTATACACCATGACCAAGGGGGATGCAAGGATGGTTCAACATCCATAAATCAATCAATGTGGTACATCACATATAAACAAAATAAAGGAAAACACTGCATGATTATTTCAAAAGATGCAGAAAAAGCATTTGACAAAATTCAACATTCTTTTATGATAAAAACTCTCAACAAAGTGGCTATAGGAGAAATATATCTCAATATAATAAAGGCTATATATGACAAACACACAGCTAATATCACACTCAGTGGTGAAAAGCTGAAAGCTTTTCCAGTAAGATCAGGCACAAAACAAGGATGCCAACTATTACCATTTCTATTCAACATAGTACTGTGAGTCCTAGCCACAGTGATCAGATAAGGAGAAAAAAAAGACATCTAAAATGCAAAGGAAGAAGTAAAACTCTCATTGTTTGCAGGTGACATGATACTATATATAGAAAACCCTAAAGGCTCCACCAAAAAATTATTAGAACTAATAAATGACTTCAGTAAAATTGAAGAATACAGAATCAAAATACAGAAATCAGTTGTTTCTATACACCAATAATGAATGATCAGAAGGAGAAATTAAGAAAGCAATCCCATTTATAATTGCATCAAAAAGCATAAAATATCTATGAATACATTTAACCAAAGAGGTGAAAGACCTGTACTCTGAAAACTATAAGATATTAAAGAAAGAAACTGAAGAAAATACAAATAAATGGAAGGATATATCTTGCTCATGGATTGGAAGGATTAATATAGTTAAAATGTCCTTACTACCTAAAGCAATATACAGATTCAATGCAATCCCTATTAAAATTCTAATGGCATTCTTCTCAGAATTAGAACTAATACTAAAATTTATATGGAACCACAAAAGACCCCAAATAGCCAACAAAATCTTGAGAAAAAAACAAAGTAGGAGGTATCATGCTCCCTGATATCATACTGTACTACAAAGCTACAATGACCAAAACAGTATGGTACTGTCATAAAAACAGACATATAGATCAATGAAATAGAATAGAGAACCCCAAAATAAATCCTCGCTTATATGGTCAATTAATCTACAACAAAGGAGGCAAGAATATACAATGGGGTAAAGACAGTCTTTTTAATAGGCATTGTTGGCAAAAACTGGACAGATATATGCAAAAAACTTAAATTGGACCGCTTTCTTACACCTATACAAAAATAAACTCAAAATGGATTACAGACTTAGCTGGTAAGACCTGAAACCAAAAACTCCTGGAAATAAAAAACATAGGCAGTAAACTTTTTGACATCGCTCTTAGAACTAACTTTTTGGATATGCCTCCTCAGGCAAGGGAAACAAAAGAAAAACAAGGAACTACATCAAACTAAAAAGTTTTTGCAGAACGAAGGAAACAATCAACAAATTGAAAAGACAACCTGCTGAATGGGAAAAGATATTTGCAAATGATATATATATCCAATATGGATAAATATCCAGAATATATAAGGAACTCATACAACTTAACACCAAAAAACCCCCCAAACAATCCAGTTTAAAAATGGGCAGAGGACCTGAATAGACATTTCTCCAAGGAGGACATACAGATGGTCAATAGATATATGAAAAGATGCTCAACATCACTAATCATCAGGGAAATTCAAATTAAAACTACAATGAGATATCACCTCACACCTGTCAGAATGACCACTATCAATAAATCACCAAGCAACAAACGTTGGAGAGGCTGTGGAGAAAAGGGAACCCTCATGCACTGTTGGTGGGACTGCAAACTGGTGCAGCCACTATGGAACACATTATGGAGGTTCTTTAAAAAATGTAAAAAAAAA